TATTTCCAGAAGTTATCTTTCTTAAACCTTTTTAATTTAATATCTATATTGTAATATATTATTTAGTTTATCAATTAAATTGCGCTAAATTTTTTAACAGGTGGCAACCCTCCTTTAAAATATTTTCAACTGTAAGCCTTTTTAAAACTATTTAGTTTGACACCCACATGGCAATATTTCGTTTACTTTATCAATTTAACTGAGTTACAATTTCCAAATAGGTGGCAGCCCCCCTCAAAAATATTTTCAACAGTCATCTTTCTTAAACCTCTTTAATTTGATACCCATATTGTAATATTTTATTTATTTCGACAATGTAACAACCCTCCTCAAACATATTTTCGGCAGTAAGCCTTTTTAAAACTCTTTAGTTTGACAACCACATGGCAATATTTCATTTATTTTATCAATTTGACTGAGTTAAAATTTTCAAATAGGTGGCAACCCTCGTCAAAAATACTTCCAACTTCTTTCTTAAACCTCTATAACTTGATACCCATATTTTAATAATTCATTTATTATATCAATATAATTGGGTTTAAAATTTTTGAAATAGGTGGCAACCCTCCAAATTTTTCGATATCATTGATTGTGGTATTATACCGAATAATTAAAAAAAAATTATTCAAATCGGTTCAGCCGTTCTCGGGTTTTGATGACCGTGACATACGAACTCAACATTTTTATATAGATAGATATACATAGAAGATGTCCAATGTGTGCTTTAGATTTTAATCTTTGACCACAACAAAAATTCCACATTTACATTCGTGAATGAACTTTCAGTTTCTCCATTACTTTTACAATTCCTTTGAGTAATTGAGAAAACTAAAGTACTCTTGCAATTCCAGGTAATGGAATTGAAAAAAAATCAATTACATTTTCAATTCCTTTCACAGGAATTGGAAAAAAATTTAATTACTAGCACGTAATTTATTCCAATTACAATATGAAATTCCTTGTAATGGAATTAAAAAAACAATTACATTTGAAATTACTTCAAGTAATTGAGAAATTAATCGATTCCTTTGCTGTGGACTGAAGGAGTTGATTCCTAAATACAATTCCTTGTAATTTGTAATTGGGAGTAATTTAATTCCTAAAGGAATCATTACGACCCAGCTCAGTATGTAAGTAGAGAAATTTTCGAATATTTTTTAATAAGTTTCTTCATAAAAAATTAACTGCTGCTTCAGCTATAAGAGCCACCACACCGACTAAATAGTAGGGCTCGCTTGAAATATGTACATGAAGATGTATGGAGGTGCGCACACTACACCAGCTTAATCGCTCCGACCCTTTAGTTGTGGTGCAATGGAAAGACTAGCGAGCACAACTAAATCGGCGGCCGATAAAGTCCGTGGTGTGCGATGGATCTAAAATTTTAAACAAGAATGTTGCCGTTATATTTTCATTTTTATGATTTTAATTTATGTGATTAGCAGTGCCAAAAATGTATGTATTAAATACGTATATGTATATTAAAAATGAAGTGATCAGTTATGAAACATACAAATTTTTACATGTTCTGTTAAAAAAAATTTAAAATAACAAGCGAAAATCCCCAAGTTCTATTTCGTAGCAGTGGCCACATTGCGTGTTTGTCACACACACGGTTTATGTCAAAAATTTTGAAGTGCAACTACGTTCTAAAAATTATTGCATCATGCGTACAACTTAGCCTAATTTACGACTTAAGCAATGAGGCTGATAGTAAAGCTGCGGTTTTAGTTTATCACTCTGACGTCAGGATTATTTTTAAAGGGTTTTGAAATTTTAAAGATATGATTAATTAAAAAAATAAAAAAAGCAGTGGAATGTACTACATCATTATGGGTACTAAATGAAAGAGAAAACTCTATAGAATTGAAAAACATAAACGCTTTTTAGTTTGCAAGGACGAATAAGTATTGTAAATGCGGTTTTTAAAAATTTTTTTTTTTTTTTTTTTTACTCATACACCTCAGTACCACGCTTTTCTGCTCATATTTCATACAAAAAATCGCATTTCCATTTGACCACTCATTTTTTTTGTAACAGAACAGGCTTTAGCAAAAATGCAAAAATTTGGCACCGAATCTGTTATTTTTAAAATTTTTCTTCTGCTAAAGTTTAATTATTTCTTTTTTTTTCATTAAAAAATAAAAAAAAACTGGAATGATTAATTAATTTGTCAGAAACTATCAGTCCTATCGGAAGTGATGATGGTTTATGGAGTATTTTACTAACTTCTATTTGACGTATCTCATTTTAAGATTGTTAAATTGGTTCGTAAGATATACGTGATTTAGTGGAAGCACTTTTTGTTTTAAGATGAATAACGGTAAATTGCAAATATCTCGAAAATGTATCCATAGAAAAAAAATTAACTCTATTTTAGGAATCACCGAGCAATTCTGCATAGAATTTGGATAGTGACGTCTGGAAAATAAAAACCAAACTAAAATTTGTGATCCAATGTAATCTTTAGCATATAGATTTCCAAGTTAATTTGTTGATAAAAAAAAATGGAAAAACACAAAATAATTGATAAATATCTTTACGTGAATAATCCGTAACTCTTAAAGAACTGATAACAGTTGAAAAAGAAGCACTTGCTGTAATGGGTTCAGCGTCAAAGGCAGCTTAATTGGTTAACCGGTTTCGAGCCGATTCTAGTTTTTTTGAAATGTACCGTTCGTTGAGAGGGGAGATGAGTAGATGACATAAAGTTTTGTATTTATGATTCCCCCTCTAAGCACAAACGGTTTTTTGTATCAACTGTCAACATGACTTTTCCACCTGCCTCCATATAGCCGAAACACTGCGCGATGCTTAGAACATGTGAGTAGTCCACTTGCTCAGTGCGCTATGTAAAATATTTTCGATTTGTAGTTTTTGGTGGGTAACGTTCCAGTATTTAAAGTAGTTTCATGCCCACTAACAACACAGTGCAAAATCTTTCTATATTCTGAAAAAATACCATCAAATTCTAACTACACTTGCAAAAGTCGCTATCATACTTATTTATAAGCTTTCAAAGGTCTCCATCTTCTGATGCACTTAGAAAACTGCTTTAGGTGGTATAGACTGTTAATGTTATGTTATGTAATGTTATTAGGCTCTTATTTATCCAAATTTTTTTGCGTAGCCTTTTTTTAATTTATGTCATACTATTATAAAATCACATAACACTGTTTGTAAGTGGACTACTCATGTTGAGTTTTTTGATTAAAATTTAAAAAATAATAATTTTCCGTCCCTGTAATTTACATAATAAATACGTACCATCCATTTCATTTTCAATATCGTCCAAACGATTGAGTACAAAATTTTGCTGTATCTTAATATGTTCCATTAATCTATGCTGGCATTCTACTGGATCTATAGGCGCCTCGGGCTGTGGTATATTGGGAATAGGGTGAGATGGTGTGGTGGGCTCCGATTTTATTTTCTTTGTAGGCGATGTAGACGGCGTCGTCTTCTGTCTCGAATCAATAACCTTTATATCAATATCCATTTTAATTTCTTGCTCCGATTTTAGATTTGATTTGACATGTTGTAAAGCCAAGTCTTCCTCCCACTTTTTAGCCCACAAGTATAGTTTTGGATGACAACGATTATTGGCAATGTTCATTTTGACACGTAACGAGTGCATGAACCGTTTAAGTTCAACTAAATTACCAGTGAGAACGTGTGATTTTTGTAGAAATTCGAAACGTTTCGGCAGACTGGGGTTCGCAATGTGATAGTTCGCCACTGGTAATTTGCCATCGTACAGCCAATCTTGATCGTGCTTAAAACGCATTGCCTCCCGACCGCGTTGTGGATTACGGCAAATGTAGCATACATACTTCTCTGGAACATCAACTTCTTTATCGATGCCATTGCAAATGCCATGCTGCCAGCACAAGCATAGTTCACATTGAATCATAAGTCCGTCCTCCTCGCCATAAGAACAGAGACAATTAATTATTTCCTCTTGCCGCATACTTACAATTTTTATTATTTCGCCATTCTCTTTAATGTACTGAGGCTGATTCGCGTTTGGGCCGCCCAGATTCTCAGCTTCATTAGATCCCGGACCCAATAGAGGTGGAAACGACGATGAACCAGAATCGGCAGTTACAGGGGAGTCCAAACTGCTCACTGGCGTTACTGGAGCGCCAGATGATTTGCGTTTCTTTCCAACTTCGATAATTTTCGCATCAGGGGTGGCATTAAACGAATGTCGTGTTTCTTCGAAATCGGACACCCCGAAGCTACTATCGGCCGTTACCATTGGTAGGATAGATGCCCCTGATGTTGCCTGTGCAGCTGTTAAGTAACGGCGAGTTGTACGCTGTCGATTACTTTTACGTGCGCCAAGAGCTCGCTTGCTTGGTGAACTGCGTGAACGTTTAGTTGGTATAGCCGATATATCAGCTAAATTCTCGTCTATGGATGAGACAGTGGTTATGGACACATCCATCATTGTGCTGTTTTGACTATTTTGAGTAGAACTATTAAGAGAAGTATCATTGAAGCCAACAGATATTTGTGAGGTTTCTGTATCTGCATTTGCTTCGATTTTGATATCAGCTTCACATTTAACTTCCGTAGCAGCCAATACTGCTTGCGGCCCACTGCTTGACATTGCCGCAAGTATACCAGCGCTGCGACGATGTGCGCGAGTTTGTAATAGATCCTGCTGATGAAGTTTTGCAAAGAATTGCTGATTTGGAATTTGGTTCCGAGGAGCGGGCTCGTGTTGATCCGGCTTGGTATGTGTACGCTTTTCTGCTAGTTCAAGCATTTTTGGGCAAGATCCTAAAAGTCTGAAGGGATATGTAATAATAAGTATGTAACAGACGATTGAAATATGCGGCCTATTCTCCAATTTCATGTGAATAAATTGTTTACAAGAATTTATCGGCAAAGCAAAACCAAAAAAGGAAATTTTTTTTGTTTAACCTTACAATTTTTGGGAATATTTGCNTATGTAACAGACGATTGAAATATGCGGCCTATTCTCCAATTTCATGTGAAAAAATTGTTTACAAGAATTTATCGGCAAAACAAAACCAAAAAAGGAATTTTTTTTGTTTAACCTTACAATTTTTGGGAATATTTGTTCACATGGAATTCCAGATAAGGTAAATAATTTTTACATACTTTATTAAATCTTGATGATAGTGCTTTACGTGAATTTGTAAATGGTCTTCCTTTCTGAAGTTCTTCAAGCAACCCACTTGTGGACATCGAAAGAGGTTATCGATTATTTGCACCTTTAGTCCACCGATGTACGCTAATGTAAGAACAAATTAGTTAAATTCGCAAGATGTATTATTAATATGAATGATGTTCTCCCTACCATATCCATCTTCTACAGGTAAACTGGGATCTACTGAGCGAGAAGAGACGGTGTCTGCATAATCGGGATTCCCCGCAATTTCAGTTGTAGTAGCTTTTGACGTAATTCCTGACGTGGGGGTCATTAATTCGGCTGGCGGTATTGGTGTGGCTACTGGTGTCTCAATGTACTGTGAAGAACTGACTGCAAGTGCAGTTTTCGCTGCTTTTACACTAGCCGCATCCATTGCAGCAATTGTAATGTCGAGTGGTTTCGGTTTTGGAGCCTGTTGAGGTGTATAATCAGGAGTGTACACATATGCGTTTATATCTTTAGCACGGCGACGGTGGATGCTAAAATCATAAATATCTGGATTGTATACCTGACCTTGTTCTTCGAGAAACATTTTCAAATCAGATTTTGATCGAAAACGCTTTCCCCCTGGTGTAACTAATATAACATCCCATTTTCCTAATACATTGGACCGTTGGTACATGTGTTTTACCCATCCCGGTGGTAAACGCCAATCTTCTACAATAACTGTAGGTTTTCTGTGCTCGCCAACAATGAGGAAACCTTCTTGACCAATTGGTTGATCATTGACCCAATGGCATGTCCATTCGCCATCACGTGGAATTTCCGGTAAATTTAAAGAATCTAAAATTGAAACTGTTTATAAAATATAACTATAAATGTGTTTCATTATATTTACTTAAGTCTAATTTTGACAAATCAAGCAAGGGCCAATCCTTCCGAGAGCCCGACGGAGTTCGTTTTTTGGCACTAGATGTTGTAGTTGCTAATGGTAAAGGAGATTCAACTTTTGTGGTCTTTAAAGGTGATAATTCTTGCAAAGTTGTGGATAGAATCTGAGGAGTACTGGGTATGGAAAGAGTCGGAGAGGAAATTGGGACGTGCGACTCTGGATCTAACGGTAATACTTTAGTCATATGTACAGCACGCACATTTTTCACATAGCCGTCATCAAAAAGGACTTCGTACAAGTCGTTTCCCAGAATTTTCTTTATTGTACCTGGAAACTTTCTTGGGCCCGACCAGCGCGCCATACATTTCTCTTCTAAATCAAATATTGGAATTGGTTTTGTTGAAACTTTCTGGCGCAAGCGTGTTGAGTTCATCGGTATCCATTCTTCTGTACCCACAACTACAGATTTCATTTTACCAGCACGCTCGAATTTTATTAATACTTCGCGGTCATCGTTGTCCACTTCAACAACGCGTGCTGAATGCCAAACTCCATCAAAATCTTGTGCTTCAAGCCTTGTCCCAGGATTAAAGGATGTCACAGCTTCGAATTTCACGGCGGCAGGAGATACTACAACTGGCGTTGATACCGGCGATGTTGTCTCAATCTCATCTTTAATTACTACCGACGAACTTGCTTTAGCTGCATTGCGCTCTGCTGTCTCAGCCATTATCTGTGCAACTTTTGCTTCTACTGTTGCCTTGGTAGCATCTTCATTGGTTTGGTTTGACATGTTCGTTGTAGACAAACTAGCATTGTTTAAATCTTCTAAATCCGATTCTACTTGAGCAGGATCTACTTTGCCCCACGGAAATACAGTAGGAAAGACGCGTTGTTTTAGTAAATACTTTCCGCTGCGTTGCGGCTGGAAATCTACACGCCGAAAATGCCTTGAACACACAAGAACACTCTTTGTTATTTGCCGATCATTGTTAAGACGGGTATTGCGTAGCCAAATTGCGCGTATACTTGTATCTAGTGGGAAAGAATGATAGGTGACTCCATGATGTTCCGGTAACCGAGAAGTGGAACTGCAACCCGCAATACAACAGCGGCGCCCCATATTTATATCCAAATTTATTGTTTTGTATAAGCTTTGTAGAAGTTATAAAACTTTAATAACTAGAAAATGGGCCGATAATGACCCCACTGTCACTGATGAAATCCTTCCAAACGCCTATTAACTCCTGCTTGAACAGACCTTAAAAAGTGACTATACGAAATTTCCCTAGATTGATATTTAGGAAATTTTTTACCGTTTTAATTTTAGGCGGATCAAATTATAAAATTATTGAATCGTTTTTATTGAAAGTAAAATTTCGGAAATAAAACCGAAATGTTGAGGTTACAAAAATTTCACAAACTTCTTCGAAGATAAGCCATTAATTCGTTATCGACTTTTATAGTTAATATCTAAGGCGGCCCTTACACGACCAAAAAAATTGCTTACGATTTGTTCACGTGTTCAGTGGTGAAAAATTTAGAGCTGGACAGGTACATGAATGCAATTCCATTCTCAAAACGCCATCATACCCAAAAACATTTAGGGCCGCTTGTTCAATGTCTGATTAGCACAAATCGCAGGTAGAAGCTCCGGTTAGATACAACGACTGCTTTATCGATCACGTGATATACGCATGATGTCGAAATTGTCGATAATGACAAGTAGTGATAACCAGACATTGAACAACCGGCCCTTAGTGCCCGTTGTTCAAAGTCTGATTAGCACAAATCGGAGGTAGAAGCTCCGGTTAAGCACAACTACTGCTTTATCGATCACATGTTCCATGCATGATGTCCAAATCGTCGATAGTGTAGTGGTAGTGATAACCAGATATTGAAGAACCGGCCCATAGGACCGGTTGTTCAATGTCTGATTAGCACAAACCGGAGGTAGAAGCTCCGGTTAAGTACAACGACTGCTTTATCGATCACATGTTAAATGCATGATGTCGCAATCGTCGATAGTGTAGTGGTCATGCTTAAGGCTGATTCACATACAACTTTCTTCGCTTTGCTTGATAGTTCTTTGCTTTGACATATAAGATCGATGTAGGCATATGCATGAGTATGCTCACATAAAAACCGTTTGAAGCAAAGCAAAGCAAAACGAAGCAAAATCTTGGGCAACTCTCAAATTTTGCCCGCTTTGGCAATCAGCTGTCTACATTTATCTTTTCTTTTAGCAACGAAAACATATTTTCGATGTCGGTCAGAACATGGTATTAGTGAGGTGGTTAGGTTCGATTTGAGATGGTTAACTTTTTGGTGGGGACATGGTATTAAAATGTTTAACGCAGAGCAAGGCATATCGCTGCAGTTCTGCTCCACAGCTGTTTTCGCGACACTCCTTACGTTAAAAAATTAGTGGTATATGCTTATATTTAACACCACATAAAAAAAACGCCTCAGGTGTTGCAGTTTTAACACATACGCTAAGGGCCGCTTGTTCAATATCTGGTTATCACTACTTGCCGGTTAAACATCATTATCGACGTTTTCGACATCATGCATATAACATGTGATCGATAAAGCAGTCGTTGTATTTTACCGGAGCTTCTACCGCCGATTAGTGCTAATCAGANCCCACAGCTGTTTTCGCGACGCTCCTTACGCGAAGGACATTGAATCACGTTAAAAAATTAGTGGTATATGCTTATATTTAACACCACATAAAAAAAACGCCTCAGGTGTTGCAGTTTTAACACATACGCTAAGGGCCGCTTGTTCAATATCTGGTTATCACTACTTGCCGGTTAAACATCATTATCGACGTTTTCGACATCATGCATATAACATGTGATCGATAAAGCAGTCGTTGTATTTTACCGGAGCTTCTACCGCCGATTAGTGCTAATCAGACATTGGACAACAGCCCTAAGTATAACCCGCACAACACTATAAAAATTCAAATGTTAATTAAAATTAGTTATTAACAAACATTAAAAAAAAACAACGATATGACATTCAAAGCGTAACGAAATATAGGATTTAAAAGAAAAACAGGTTGAAGTTTTAAACTACGTTCACATTACCAACATAAAATACTTAGTTTCGTTTAAAATACCTCACTAAATTAAGTGCGTTCATACACGCGATTCTTTATTTGTCTTGACAGCTTTGTAGCAACCCTGTGTTATTGTTTATTGAACCAAAAGAGATCGCGAATGTGAGTAATTGCGTATATTTATATATTCTGAGTTGTTTGTGGTAATTTTTTAGATTTTAGATGAGTGATCAAAAGAGAAAGCTTCTGGAAATATTTTACAAACTACCACGCGCGATTATTAAAAACAAATACGTCCAAACACAATGACATATCAGTTATGGGACAATACTTTTTTCGATTATTATCGATAAAATTAGAGCCGACACTGATTTGTTCGTGATTTGGTTCTTGGTTTAAGATAAACTACGTACTTTCAACTTAATTTACTGAGAGACTTTACAAGGCGAAATTACTTAGTTTGTACTTAATTTATGCGTAAATTAAGATTGGCCTCTAAATTACGCCATTGGGAACATAGTTTAAGGGCCGTTTGCACCATGTCTAGTTAATTCTAACTCCCAGTTAAACATCTTTATCGACGTTATCGACACCCATCATATAACATGTGATCGATAAAGCAGTTAACGTGCTTAACTGAAGGATGTACCTCCAGTTAGCGTTAACTAGACATGGTGCAAACGGCCCTAAAGGTTTGGTTCTCATGAGAGCAACGTCATTTTGTCTTCTACCTGTGTTTATGTGCCTTGGAAATGACGTGCGTAAAAAGCCAACTCAATTTACAATTTTAGGGCCAGTTGTTCAATGTCTGGTTATCACTACCACTACACTATCGANTTGGCAACATAGTTTAAGGGCCGTTTGCACCATGTCTAGTTAATTCTAACTCCCAGTTAAACATCTTTATCGACGTTATCGACACCCATCATATAACATGTGATCGATAAAGCAGTTAACGTGCTTAACTGAAGGATGTACCTCCAGTTAGCGTTAACTAGACATGGTGCAAATGGCCCTTAGGATGTAGATAAAAATAAAATCATATCACTTCATTGATTTACATACACAGTAAAAAACAGAAAAAAACTTAAATAATAAAGCCTTCTTTTTCAGAAAGCATTCTGGCACTACAGTTATAAAAAAAAAATCCAATATAAAATAAAAACAAATCTCATAAAAAAATTGTCAAGTCCCACTTATTTTAAGAATTAAGGTGCCTGTTGACGTTATTTAACTCAATATTTAAAAGTTCCCTTTTTAATCTTAATTTTTCTATAGCAGCCTTTTCCATCACAGCGTTATGTCTTTTAATCTCTTCAAGAGTATTCTGAAGAATTTCAGTATTTTTCTTTTTTTGGTCGCCTGGCCTCTCTACCGATCTATTAAGTCTTTTTAAATGGTCCCTCATGTGTTGAAAATATTCCTGTTGGTTCTCAACACTCTCAGACACTTTTTCGTATAGTCTTTCTTGAACCCCTATTTGCTTCTCTAATAAATCGAATTGCTCGGGTCTCTTTTTTCTTCTTTGGTTAGAAATATTTTGGTCATTCTCAATATTTACGTCTTCATGAGCTTCAATACCATCGTAATCTCTCCGAGTAGGTGGAGAAGTGTCCTCAGATATTCTCTCCTGCGGTACATCTCTCGTAGCAGAAGCTCTCATCTGTGGAACATTTCTCGATGTAGATGGAGCTGCGTCATCATAATTTATCCCCTGTGGCACTCCAAACTGTTTGGAGCTTCTAATACCACCAACGCAATCATTCAGACACACAAGGGTAGCAACTTCTTCCCTAGATGTTAAGGGAATTTCACTATTTTCTCCTCCACCAGTCGCATGTAGCTCTCTGTTGTTATGCGCGAGCTTCTTCTTTATCGCCGACTTATAGTCCGACCAAACCTGTGGTTCAAACTTAGTAAATAATATATTTTAGCTTTTCAACATTTCGCAAAACTTTTTCCATTCGGCAATGGTTTTTGATGGCGGTCCAATCGAATTCAACTCCTCTCACACACTTTCCCAAAATCTTTCTACCAAATCAGGTGCATTTTTAGTAAATTTTTTGCTATGTCCGGATGCTCCTTCATTTAAGAAACTAAACATTTAAATTGCTCCCTGGTCATTGTACGCTTCTTAAAACACATAAGATGGTGTATTTTTTACAATATTACAATATTAAAGGGAAAATAATTGTGGTTTTTCTTACATTTCATTGCTATCCATCTTATCGTTTTTAGTATCCGCAGCACAACGGCGCGTGAATGAAAGATAGAGAAATTGGACGAATCACGGATCGGACGCGTTTTCAATGATGCCACTTTTTTATTTCATTCGCAAACTGCATTAACCTCGTTTGACTCATCCGCAAACTGCATTATCGATCGCTTTCGATAATACCAAAATCTGTCAAAAGTGAGTAAAACTCCCTCCACAACCATCTGTCGGATACCATAATAGGCATGAATACTTCGATAAATAATGATTTAATATTTATTTCAGTCTATTGCAGCGTTTTTGCTGCATTTAAAATGCAACATTTAGCACTTTCGAACATATGTTTTCGAAGAGCGTTCATGCTACCGCATTTAGCAAATGTACATTTACGCGAGTTCGAAATCGTATGCTTTTGACAAACAGCCGTGTTCCAGTCGCTTATTCAGATCCGTCACTTTCCCCCGATTTGGCATTTTATACAATTGAATAGTTTTGGATAAGAAAAACCTTTTTAAAATACGAATTAATTATATCGGAATGAATAAGTTATTTTTCTCATAATTATTTCTGATATCACATGGTGACGCATTAAAAACAAGAGTATCTCCTCCAAACACCCATCTTTGATCCAAAATAATGTAATAGAGTAGGTTTAAAATTATAAAATTTTCATTTCAACAATCAACCTACCAAAACCGAAAACTTCAGCAAAAAAACATTTCAACATGCTTCATTTAAATCTATTTTGGTATATTTGAAGGAAATTTATGTTACAAACGAAAAATTTCATACGGCAACCATAGTCAGCACGCACTAAAGTAAACAAACTGGAGATTAATAGCAAATTAACGAAAAATAAACACAACAAACGTTGTGCTTATTAAATTTACGCACTTTTTAGTTATATACTAGCATTAATAATAAAATTTGCAATAAATAACTCAAAAAAGCCATATTTTCTTTTGTTTATTTACAAACATGTGTTTGTGATCAGCTGATTTTCTTACTTGCAAGTTTTAGCTGGGAAAAATTTTTCCAGCAGAAATTTGCAGCTCTCTTTCACATTTCGCTCTCTCAATTTCCCCTACTTTGCAAGTTTTTTGGGTACGAGAACGCAAAACCAGTAAAAGTTTTTTAAAACTTTAGACACAAGGTCTCCCGATCACTAAGGGCCAGTTTTCCAGTGCACGGCTGGGGTCTAAAATTATTATTATTATTATGTAAGTCTTTATTATAATTAAAATTATAACCGCTCGAGCTGGTAAAGACAAACTCAGTTTACGTGATCTAAGTTTAAACTTGCACTGAAAAACTGGCCTTAAAAGTGAAACATCAACGAATTCGGGCTACCGTATTAGAAACAATCGAGCGAGAACGCCGAAAGAAACGTAAGCGCCAAATGTTTTTATTTGGCGTCTTTTTTGTCAAAATTATATAATTTTTCCACAAATAAATAACTTTTTCATATCCATCAACCGCAAATGGTACCGCAAAGAATTTACAAGGCAATAAAAAAAAACAGAAAAACAGCTCAAAGTGGACCATCTATTCTCAAATTATACGCGGTTTGAAGTACACAACTTCGGTATATATGTACATACAAATATTTATTTGTAAAGGGTGAACACACGAAAACTGCGACACTTAAGCTGATGCCAGATAAAACTTTGTAGCTTTGCGTGACATTTATAACTTTGCCAGCAAAGCGCCAGACGCAAAAGGTATGCCACAATGAACGCCAAGAAAACAATGTTGTACCGCTTTTTTACTCATCAAAGTTGCTGTGGATTTTAATTATTTTGATTTAAAATTATCAGCAATGTAATTAAGTTTTATGTTTCTGCATGAAAACCCGAATTTGGACGAAACAAAATAAATATTAAACCGGCTGATTGTCAAAGCGCGCAAAAAGATGGGAGTTGACCATCTTTTCGCTTCGCGCTGCCGCTTCAACGATTTATGTGGCATGCTTTGTGCATTTTCATACAATTCATCTTATCTGTCAAAGCGAATCTGTCACGTAAAGCGAAGCAAAAGTTTTATGTGACATCAGCTTTACGGTGTTGAGTAATTTTCAAATATCGATGGTAAACATCGGTTTTTTAGCCGATGTGATCGATGTTTCAGAAACATCGATGCATCGTTTGCATCCCTACCTCCATCAAAGAAAATTGTACTCCATTGTTAGTTGTGGTGCAAAATATGGAAGAAGTTGGTTAAATTAAAGAAACGATTTATAAAAATCAGTGTATTCAATTTGTACATAAAAAATGAGCAAACAAAGCTTTTCAACGCTATGTGGATAGAGAAGAAAAACTGGAGGTCAATGCGCTTAGGCCGACTGTGGAGTCAGTAGTGACTACAGTGATGAAATACAATGCAACGCCACAGTGGGACTCCAACAGAACCTGGGAATGGAGGCAGAAGGACCAAACGGCGCTGACGAATTATCTAGGTGGGCTTTTAACCCCTAAAATTTATCAAAATTTAGGAAAGGGTACCATTAGACGCGTCTGGACCCCGGTAACAAGAATCCGAAAGTGGAAATTAACCTTTTTTACCCGATTGAAAGTTATTAACAAAAAACTTTTCCTCAATAGCACCTCTTTATTCCCTTACTACACTCACACAAACGCACAAACTGCCCATATTCACCATACATACAACAATAATACTTCATTTTAACCATATATCCAAATATCGCTAAATATATCACTAAAATCTTATATATTTTATTTATTATAATGTAAACAATTTGGTGTGCTCAACGCAAAATTCACCTGCTGATGTGCGGTATTGCCACACAACGTGAATGGAATAAATATTGAATATGTTTACACGGAGTGCAAAATAACTAAATAGTTAAAATTGTCATTTTATAACGAAGTATTAACTTTTATATTATATATCGCGCGATTTTTATTACAGATTTTTATTATATCCTCCTCGGTCCTCGCGTGTAGCCTGCTGGACACTTTTTAAGTGGACATATAATAAAAAAATTTTAATTTATTTCAATCCGATCCAACTTTATATCTAGCTGGACATCTTAAGTATACAATTGAATTGTTTTTTTTTTTGCTTTTGTGGCAATACTGTCGTAATGCGATCCAATAAGTGAACAGTTATTTGAAAAAACATGTGGTCCTTGTGAATGTAATTTCAAATTAATATTTTCGCTATATTTCTTCGAATCAAGTTTAATATTTTATTAAATTCAATCGAAAAATACTTGTTCTTTAAAGTAAATAACAAATCTTTTAAGTAAGTCTATTAAAATTCGGATATGAATACTGTTTCTTAAATGTTCAGCGGGCTGCACATTTGGTAGCCATCATGTCGAAAAAACGTTTTATGAAGAAGAGGTGATGGAGATGCTCATGGACAGAGATTTTGAAGGTTTGTCCGATGATGAAGACTTAGAACTCGTTCCTAATTGTTCGAATGTTGAAGAAGAGTGATTCCGATTCTGACTACAATGCAGAATCTGATAATGAAGAAGATAATATTGCTGAACAAGAATTGGTTGATGCAAATGAATGTCCCTCAAATCTTTAAAATAAAAAAACCGCTTAAATGGCTTGCCAAAGAATTTGTCGTGGGTAATACTCCCGCTGCCGACGAGGCATGGAATGCAGAAGATTGATTTGAGTGGACACCTTTCCAATATTTCTCGGAGTATTTGGACGACGATTTTTGGTGCGAAATTTCACAACAAAGTAATATGTACGCTCTACAAAACGGCCAAAATTTGATTTCAAACTATAATGAGTACAAGAAACTATCTGGGCCCACATACTTGCTGGTTGCATGAAACTTCTGCGCGTAAGGATGTACTACCGACCTCTATTAAAGTTCCAGCCATTACACAGATACCAAGGGATCGATTTTTTAAATTAAGAAATTATATGCAGTTTGTCGACAACTTAAGAGAACAACAAATTGTGAGAAGTTGAACCAATAATAAAAGCCGTTTTGAAAAAATGTCAATTGCTACCAAAGCCAGCAATACCGAGCATCGATGAACAAATGATTGCATTCTCTGGTACCACGCAATTGAAACAATATGTTAAGGGGAAACCCTGTCCTGTTGGTTTGAAAAATGTTGTACTCGCTAGTCCAGATGGTTTAATACTGGACTTTTTCATTTACCAGGGAGCAAAAACTTGGGCCAATAACAAATGCAACCACGATTTAGGTATCGGAGGAACAGTAGTGCAAAGACTTGCAGAAAATATTAGTAAAGGCAGTGAAATATTTATTGACCGATATTTTACCTCGATAAAACTGCTAGAGTTTTTGCTGGAAAATTAAATATATGCTACGGGCACGATTCAACAAAACGGAATCCCCAAAGAACTGCGAACAAAACTTTCAACCGACCTTGATCTTCTAAAAAGAGGCAGAGGATGAATGAATTCAATTCAATGAATTTGTGAGAGAAGATGAGAAACTAGCGATTGTAAAATGGATTTACAGTCGTTCGGTTCTAATGGCGACCACGTCGACTGGAGCAAGACCACTTATATCTATTCGTCGATGGGATAAGAAAGCCAAAAATTACCAAAATTTCAATTCTTCGAATACGGTAGCAAGTTACAACACGTCAATGGGAAGCGTAAATCTTGCGGACAGGTTGATATCCTATTACCGTATTAACATCAGAACAAAGAAGTGGCCCACACGAGTTTTTTGGCATATAGTTGATCTCGCACTGTGTAATTCCTGGATTCTTTATAAAAAAGACAAACTTTCCTGTGGTGCAAGGAGGTGCAAGTTGATGGAGGTGAATTTTGCGTTGAGCACGCCAAAATTGTTTACATTATAATAAATAAAATTTATAAGTTATAAGTGATATATTTAGCGATAAAATGAAGTATTATTGTTGTATGAGTGGTGAAAAATGGGCAATTTGTGCGTCTGTGTGAGTGCAGTAAGTGAATAAAAAAGGTGCTATTGTGAAAAGTTTTTTGTTAATAACTTTTGGTCGGGTAAAAAAGTTAATTGGCGCATTCGGATTCTTGTTACTAGGGTCCAGACGCGTTTAATGGTACCTCCTTTCC